TGGGATATATCTAGGAAAAATGTAGCCTTCTTCCAATTTTTTATATAATAATTCTGAAGAAGGCTTCATATCATACTCAAGTACATATCTAATAAGAATAAGTCTTACACGAAGCTATACTATTAGGATATATCTAGGAAGATGAAGGCTTCTGCCATTTTCATATAATATAATTCTGCAAAAGTATTCATATCATACCTGGATGTATATCTAGGAAGGATAAGTCTTACGCGAAGACTAAACTATACCTGAATATATATTTAGAAAGTATAAGTCTTCTTCCAATTTTTTATATAATGATTACGAAGAAGACTTATCATCTGAATGTATATCATTTTGCCTTTCTTTTGTATTTTACTTACTGTATTTACTATCACCTCTTTTTTACAACCATCGAAAAAAATAAATTAAACATTTCCAAATTTTATAGAGATAGTATAACTTTTTGAACTAACATCATGCATACACTAACTAATTTTGACCAAACTGATCGCTCTGAAACTGCCCGCTATAACAGTGCTGGCCTTTTAGCTGGTATCCCATCGCGCAATGATATTGTGGCAGAATATGATAATGGGATGACCGCTATACTTCAACAATATTTATCCAATAAGCATCCTGTACACTTTATGCCTACTGAAGTCAGTGATGATATCGAGGGGTACTCTTCCTATATTTTGCGTATTACTAGTACTCTGATTAATGGGCAAAAGGCAGTCATAAATATTACAGGTATCAAGCCCTTCTTTGATGTTGTAGTATCTGAAGAGATGCCAATATCTATGTTTAAGACCAAATTGGTGAAGATATTATCTAATATTCTCAAAAGTACATCAAAATTCGGGCTTGAAACTATTAGCGCTTTTCCACTTCAAGGATATCATACAAATAAGAAGTTATATATCTGTATAAAGATATAGAATCATTTTGATCAACATAAAGCGTTAAAGGCAGTTCGTGAAGTTAGTATTAGCACTGCTTTCGATGACCTAAATCCTATATACTATTATCGCAAAGTAGCCTGTGAAGAAAGATTACCTCTTTCAAGTTAGGCAGTATTAAGCAACTATTCATATGTATCATCAGTAAATGCTTATCTCTTCCGAGTATCTGTGGGTAATTACAACCCAATAAGCGATGACGAGTATAACAATCCATTAATTTCTTCAGCGCTTTTGAGGGATCGAACGTTTGTTCTCACATGGGACATAGAGACATATAGTTCACTTGGATTAGGCAAATTTCCTACTGCACAGAGCGATGAATCTAACGTATTTATAATTTGCATGTCAGTTCATTGGAAAGATGACCCTAATCTATTAAAACAAATTTATCTTGTCGATGTTAAAACTGCGCTAGACCCACGTTAGACCACAATTATATGCGGATTCCAGACTAATTTACTAAAGGCATTTGCCTTGTGTTAGAAACTTTTAGCTCTGGATATACAAATAGGTTTTAACAATTTACAATATGATTGGAGATTTATTGTGGAGAAGGCGAAAAAATTAGGGATTCTCGAATGGATGTACAATCAAATGTCATTAAAGCTTTCAAGCCTTGAAAAAATTTCAAAATGGCAGTATCAATATAGCATAATAAAGGTCAATGATAGGGATTTTCATTCGAAGCATCTTAAAATTCCTGGATGCGTAGCTATTGATGTCTGACCATGTTTTATGAAATTCTATCCTAAGGCCGAAAAAAGCAGTTTAGCATATTACCTAAAGGAGTGTAAACTCGATAACAAGCTAGGTATGCCTTTCCATCGTATGTTTAAGTATTATAGGAGGGCATTAAACGAAACTAATGCTACAACGGTCGAGCAGATATGCGAAGTAGCCGAATATTGTATTATCGATACTATTAGCTATCAGCGGTTAATGGTAAAGCGTAATGCAATTAACGAAATTAACGAGTACAGGGAGGTGGCATCTGTAGCTTTTATATCATTATACGATTCACATTATTTTGCAGTAGGAATGAAAGTGCGTAATTTTTTAAGTGTCAGAGCGTAACAGGAAGGGATTTTAACTAGCATAATTCTATATGAACAAACGGAAATAGGGAAATACCCTGAGGCCTATGTTTTCTCACTGGTAAAGGGTCTCGAAAATAGACGACCTGTAACCAGCTTAGACTTTGCATCATTGTATCCAAGCCTTATCATGACATACAATCTTTCACCTGATAAAATCATTTTATCTCGAGAGCATGCTGAATCTCTAAAGGAGAGCGGTAAAAAGCTTCATAAAATTAATTTCAAATTCAATGGTTGCGATGTTCTTGCATAGTCTATAGAGCATGAAAACTAAGCTGAAATAAAAGGCCTTTATCCAAAAGTATTAGAGGAGTTGCTTATTAGACGGAATTCATTAAAAAGCCATCTTGATCTATTAAAGGATAAAAAAGAAGAATTAGAAAAGAAGATTAGTTTGGCGGAAATAAAGGGTGAGGATGTTACAGATGCTTTAAAATCTGAATACTCTTCAGTTTCCTTCAATGTCGCCTGTCTAGACGCAAAATAACTCGCTTTAAAAGTATATATGAATACGTTTTACGGTGAAGCTAGGAATAGCGGGTCTTCTTTCTTTTTGCGAGCATTAGCAGGCGGGATAATATCAGCTGGTCAGCGGAATATCAAGCTTATTGCTGACCTTGTCAGAAGTAAAAGATTTGGTGTAAAATATGGGGATACAGATTCATTATACCTTATTTGTCCAGAAGAATATTTCTGGGAGTGTGATGAGAAATACATTTCAGAAAAGATATCGAAGAAAAAATACTGGAAAGAGATAGTGGGAATATCTATGAAAGCAATGAGTGAACTCTGAGGCGAAGTTAATGACTTCCTTAGGAAAGATAACGATTCCCCTTATCTCAAAATGGCATATGAGGAAGTCTTATTTTCAGTAGTATTTACTGGAAAGAAAAAATACTACAGCATCCCACATACAAGTAAGCTCAACTTTAATAATAAGCTTTTTATTTGAGGGGTTGAGATTGTAAAGCGAGGGCAGTCTAAATACTTTCGTGAGGTAGGTAAGAAGGTCATGGAAGAATCTATGAGGCTGGATAATGATAATACTCGCATCTTGCATCAGATTGTAGAGGATGTGCTCAAAGAGATCATAAATGATATTTCACAGATAGATCTTAATGGAGTGGTTAAAACTGCTGTGTGAAAGCTCGATAAAAATAATAAGAGTATTTAGCGTTTCATTTCACGAATGCGAGATAGACATACACGTGAAAAAGCGGATGCCAAACAGTGCATAAAAAAGGGCCTAACACCTGAGCTTTATCTTTATAAAATCCCAGAACTAGGCAAACACTTTGAATATATTATAGTTAAGAATGATTTGTCACAGAGGATAGGGGATAAAATGGAGTTTCTAGAGATAGTGAGGCGATTAGGTAAAAAGATCAATATCAGTTATTATCTGAAAACTGTTGTCAGCCTCTGTGCACAATTTATTAACTATGATGAAAGATACCAGCCATCATCTGAAATTGTGCTGAAAGTCTTAAAAAAGTTAAAAGATGTTAATAAAGCGGGTGACAATAAAGCGGATGATGGTGGGGTGGATAAAGATGATCTGAACGAAGAAGATGAAGACGAAATGAATGAAGATTAGGTATCAAAAATAAGAGATGCCTTAGCGCAGAAATCAGCTAAAAAGTGGGTTAGGAGATATATCAAAAACCTACATAAAGGTCTGAAAAAAGATAAAATCATTATAACTCATTTATGAGAAGAGACACGCATTTACGTGAAAAAATTATTTAATACTACTTATGTTGACAAGGGAGAACACTTGACTAACAATGCTTATTACACTTCCTTTCTCAATGCGTTAGATAAGCAAGAGGAATCTATCCGCTTAAAACTTTCATCATTGCTTAAAGAAATTTCTGAGGTTGATATAAAGTATAGAGAAAGTAAGTATAAATTAGTTATTAAGAAGGGAGCAATGTCTTTAGAACAATATTTAACATCATATTATTTGGATGAGTGTAAGCTACTAGCAGATTTCTGAAACATATGGTACAAAGTGGTTGGCCTAGAAATCACACGCTACTGAACATTATCGAAATTAAAGGATAATAAAAAAGATGATTCATCTGAATCAAATATAGATGAGATTATCGAATTATATGGATAAGTACTCTTAGTGGGATGTGGTAATTTCAGCTAAGAAATTTAGGCGTTAAGGCACTTCGCATAATATTATTTACATATTTTTTTTCGTGCAATAATACTGGCTAACTTCAATTTTTATCTTTGAACTTTCAGCCTCTGATCATACAACTAGCGTTAGAAATACCCGGAGATGATAAAAAATAGTTTTGGTTAGGAGAATACTCGGTATTACTTTTTTTCCTTGAATTCTACCATTTTCTGACCACGAACTATATAATCACAATCAGTAGTAAAGCAAGTATGGCATATGGCATTAAGGAACTTTTAACGACTAGTGCGATTCTAGAGGGACTCGCTAGAGGCATTACTTGAGGTGATGGTACCACTTTTGCGCCACCTAATTGCTTCACAACCTTTCTCTCAAAATAGACTTTTCAGAATGTGCTAGTTGACTATAAACGGATTGATTAGGTAGGGTATCTGTCTGGCTTCTCAAAACCACCCCATTTCAGGGTAATAGTTCTTGCAAAGCCTCTAAAATATCTTTCTTAGCATACTCTTTGTCAAGTTTCATAACTTTATCTTTAAGACTACGCTCATAGACGAGAGGTCTTAGATTATCACTGATCCAGCCTGGTAGTTTTTGCGATGAATCATTCATAGAGAGAGGTGACGGGTTAGAGAGATCTGCTATCTCATTATCTTTTTTTGAGATTTGATCCCTGAGGAACCTATTTTCCTCCATTGAATTTAATTGCATCTTTCTCAAAGCATCTATTTCCCGACTGGTTATCTCATATGTCACTTCTATCCCTTTTTCTATATATTCTATTTTATGATTTTTGGAATTAAGGTTCTCTTTTACCCGTTCTAATTCAAGCCTAAAAGAATCGATCTCTTTAGGATCGGATGACTTACCTTCCAATTCACGTACTTTAGCTTCAAGAGAAAGAATCATATCCT